CTAGGGCAGCCAGGCTCATCCACGTCTGGATATTCGGAGTGTAAAGTTTATCCTCCCGTCTTGGAGAGCTGACCCATATGGGTGTCGGAGAATTGGTTTACCCTCTCGCACTGGAGAGCATGGTTGGTCCCTCGGGGGGCGCAATTCCTGCGATGAGTCCCTAAGAAGGGCGCAATCTTCTTTTGAAGTGCAGGAGTGATTAGTTGTTGTAAGCATGCAACCAAGCCAAGTTGTGATTACTTCTAAATTCCTCATTGAAAAACGAGTGAAACGAACGAGAACTTTAGCTGTAAGGTAGGAACTGCATAACAACTGGATAGTCCCCAGCTTGTGAGGTGGTGCCCGTCGAGCTTATTGAGTCTTCGGGTTTTGATGTAGCGGGAGGTCACACATGGTACTTCTTCAGATTGTAGGCCATCCATTTCTTTTCAATATTTTTGCTGCTTCATGGTGGTGAGGGTGTAATTACTCTTGCCCCCTACTCTGCTGATCTTGTACGGACCTTCCCAGATGGGATCCATCTTTTTGGAGCCTTCTCTGCCGGCAGTGATGAAGGCTTTTCTGCGTCGTCGACATGCAAATGCCAAAAGTCTCCATCGGGTGGAGTAGGCGCAGCTAGAGTGTGCTCGGCTACTTCTGAGGCATCGTTGGGCTGCTCTGTTACGTCACTTAGGCTCGGCGTGAAGACGCAGTAGGGAGCTGTGGAGATGGGGCCATGTCATACGCAACAGGAGATGCTCAACTGCCGGTATTGGGCCACTCTAGAGTTGAATCATTGAGCAAGGGTCGGCTAGGGCCGTGTGATGCGCAGCAAGAAATGGTACTCAACTGCCGGTACATGTTGCTCCTATGTAGAATCTTTTAGGGTGACGAGGACAAAACTTGCTTTCGAGTGTGTCCTTCTAGTGTTGCGTTCGTCAGAAAACTTTACATCCGCCATGGTCTACACCTTTATCGTCGCGCGTCTGGATTGGGCAGAATAGTACGTCATTAGGATGATTGCATGCGTTTGAAAGTAAAACTTGTGCTTCTGGGTTGCAACAACTATCACCAAAGTTAGCTTTTGAATTTTTAATAACATCGAGGAGAGCTTTTGAACTGTAGAATACAGGTAACTGTGGAATACAGGTAGTCGGGCCCCCATCTCTTCTCGCATGATGGTAGAGCTTATTGCTACTTTAGATATCGTCAAACATGTGAATAAGTCCTCCGCTGCTTCTAGGGAGGTGATGTCGGGTACTTCTTCAAGTCCTTGAATGTGCATTGGCGAGCCTCATCCCAAAGTGCATACTTCTCTGCCAAAGCAAAAGAGTCTGCCAGAGTTAGATCTTCTTTCATGATCAATTTTCCAAATAGCGGGTGGTCTGCTGGAAGTCCTTTTTGGAAGGCTGCTCTAGCTATCGAGTCGTTGCATCCGACTATTTTTTGCCTTCTCTACTTTGAACCTCCTCACATAGTCGCGAATTGACTCCTTTGGGTTCTTCTTGACGTTGAACAAATGATCAGATTTCTTTTTGATCGAGCGATAGGATGAATATTCTTTGGTGAAAACCAAAGAAAGTTCGTAGAAATTCCGGATGGATTGTGACGGCAGGGTGTAGAACCAATCTTGCGCCTCGCCTTGTAGAGTGGTGGCGAATATCTTGCACATAAGCTCATCGTTGTTTCGATAAAGGATCATTGCGCTTCGGTAGCGCTTTAAGTGTCTCTCCGGGTCTTCATCCCCTTTGAAAGATGTGAAATGTGGCATGCTGAACTCTCGTGGAGGCTCTGCCTGCTCGATCTCGTCCGTGAAGGGTGACCTGCTTGCTTATGTTGGTCATGTTCCGTCGTAGTGCCTCGTCGGTGACCTCGTTGCGTTGGAAATCATGCAATCGCTTGGTCAAGAGTCTCTCTACTTCTTCCTGAATTTGCCTTTGTTGGGGTAGCGGAGCTCTTGGCTGCCTCCAGTCATGACTTGCTGGTCTAAGCTGCTCTTCCATGTGTTTGGCTCGTCTATGCCGCGAATGCAGTGCATGTGGTGCGTTCCTAGTAGGCGAGCGAGTTCTTCGCAGGCTGCTGGTTGAACTTGAGCTGGATTGAGTGACTGCTTCTCTCCGTCCGTCGTGCTGCCTACTCTGATGTGAGGTGGATGACGCTCCTTGTGGGCTTAGCTGCGAATAGACACTTTGCCCGGAAGGTTGCTCATGTTGACTATCGGAGTATGACCCCAACCGTGAATGTATGCTCATCCGTGGGCCTAGTCGAGAGTGCATGCTCCCTCGCGCTCTAAGACGGGAATGTACACTGCCCAAACGTTCGGCTCGTGGCTGGTCGAGTGGCTGCTGGAAATGTTCGTTTGCCCTTGTCCTACTTCGGGATACCTCGTCCGGGGCACGTTGGATCCCGATACGTTGCAAAAGTTGATTCACCAAGGTTTTCTGTTGTGCAAGGGCGCTCGTCAACTCTATGACTTGTCGAGACAAGTGTTGTTCGCCATTTGGATTGGAAGAGCTTGGAAGGAATGCGCCTCCTTGGGCAGTGGAAATGTGGTAGACTCCGGGCGCGAGATTTGAGTTGGGAAATGTCAAATCCGTGAAAAAATGTGGTGAGAATGCCCTCGGCTCGATGGTAGGTCCGGGAGATAGTCTTGGGCCGACTTGGGCTGCTTGGAAAGCCACAGGAGTAGGCTGGGCCGTGAGAGTGGGCTGCTCGAAAGAAGCAGGCTGGACCACGGGAGTGGGTTGCTCGTCGGAAGCAGGCTGGGTCACGAGAGTAGGCTGCTTGGCAGGAGCAGGCTGGGCCACCGGAGTGGGCTGCTTGGCAGGAGCAGGCTGGGCCACCGGAGTGGGCTGCTCGACGAAAGCAGGCTGCTTAGCAAGAGGAGGCTGGGCCACAGGAGTGGGCTGTTTAGCAGGAGCAGGCTGGGCCACCGGAGTGGGCTGCTCGACGAAAGTAGGCTGGGCCACGGGAGTGGGCTGCTCGTCGGGAGCAGGCTGTGTCACGAGAGCAGGCTGCTCGGCATGAGCAGGTTGGGCCGTGAGAGTGGGTTGCTTGACGGGAACAGGCTGGATCACGGGAACAGGCTGCTCAATGCGCGGTGCATGTGAATGCGAGGCTTGGGCTTGGGTCCACGTAAACTTGGATGGCACGGCTTGGATCGTGGTCTTGGTACCGTGAGCCTTGGATGGCACGGCTCGGGCCGTGGTGAAGGCTCCATGGACCTCGCCACGAGTGGCTACCGAAGTAGCCACCGCGGTGGTTCCCATGGTGTCCGTGGTGAAAGCACCATGGACCTCGCCGCGGGTGGCTACCGAGGTAGCCACCACGGTGGTTCCCATGGTAGAAGCTTGTGGTGATGATGCCGCTCCCCTTATTGTCGCATTTTGCCTCACGGATCTCCGGGCCGTGGTGAAGGCTCCATGGACCTCGCCACGAGTGGCTACCAAAGTAGCCACCGCGGTGGTTCCCATGGTGGCCGTGGTGAAGGCACCATGGACCTCGCCGCGGGTGGCTACCGAGGTAGCCACCATGGTGGTTCCCATGGTGGAAGCTCGTGATGATGATGCCGCTCCCCTTATTGTCGCATTTAGCCTCACGGATCTCCGCAATCCCATTTCTTGAACATTAGAATTTTCACTTGTGGAATTTTCTAAATTTCTAGCCATTATATTTTGCTTATACGTTTTATCAAAGAACCTTTGCAAGTAAAAAAATTCTAATAATAAGAACGTATGAAAAATATTCAAATGGACTAGAAAATAAAAGAAAAAACCTTTTTGTGCGAGAGTCTTCTACGAGTATGGATTTCAACTCTCAATGAAAGCACCAATTTGTGGATGCAAATTTTCTCCTCTTCGATCTTGGACGATTTTGCACCTACAAAACAACTAGCACCTTAGGTTAAGGCCAAGAGCCTCACGCGCCCACGATGAATGGGGGGGGCTTTGGCCGAAGAACCTCTGATGCCAAAGTTAGAATTTTAGAGAGAAATAGTGTTTAGAGTATTTGTGATTTTTTGTGAGAGAGTTGGAATGAATTTTTGGTGAGAATATGTGTTTATTTATAGAGTTAGGGTTTGCCCTATTTTGAATAATAGTAGCCAGCCATAGGGTTTTTGTGGGGGTTAATTTCATGTTTAATTTGCCAATTTATTGGCTAATTAAATATGAAAATAATAAAATGGGTGGTTTATAAAAATGAATGATTATTTTAATAAGGAAAATGGGAAAGATGAGGATGTGAATAGTGGGGGCCGGTTTTGGGCTATTAATTGGGTGATTTTAGGAGATATGGTAGGTTTATATTATTTAGCTAATTGATTAGCTAAATAATGAAATAGAAAATACTAGGTTTTGGGAAATACCTTATAGAAAGGATTTGATGAGAGAGGTTTTTAATTGTTACCTTTTTTGGGCACTTTTGACTTGATTGAAAGATGATTGCCCACTGCTCGCGCGTAGGAATCCTTGTATGCTTCGAGGGTATTTTTGTCCTCTTTTGTCCAAAAGTCCACGTGTCGCCTAGCGAATATTTTTGGCTCCACATCCAGTATTATACCCTCAAATTATTTTACACAGAAAAAGATCATCGTCGGATTTTTTTCTGAGGATCCGGAGGATTTCACGATCGTGACCGTTGATTGTATGTGCTCAGTTTTCGTTATGTATTATTTATACTTAATTTTAAGAATTTCATTTGAATGATTAATAATTTAATATTAGGTGTTTTTTTTATATAAAATAAGAATTTCAAGATCTATCTCTGAAGAACATTTTTTTTTTTCAATTACAGTGTCCCTCGTCAATGTGAGAGAGAGAGAGAGTTGAGTGACCGTGTCAAACACCAAGGCCGACTTTTCTCTATAGGACACCATTGACCGACTTTTCCCTAGGATATTTGACGGGCTTACTGCAACTGTAAGCGAGGTGCTTTAACCCCTCCCATATTATATAACTCCTTGGTGTTTAAGCTATGGTACCCTCTCTCTCTCTCTCTCTCTCTCTCTCTCTCTCAGAGCAATGGAAATTAGTGGAACCAGGTCCTTCACCTTAAGTTTAGCCTTTCTTCTTCTTTGCTTTTGCAGTGAAACTTGTAACGCTGACAACAGTAGTGCCAAGTCCTGCACTTCATCCTGCGGCCATATCCACAACATAAGCCATCCTTTTCGACTTAACGATGATCCAAAGTACTGTGGCAACATATCGTATACTCTGTCCTGTGAGAGCAACATTACAGTACTAGACCTACCTTCTTTCGGAAAGTACCATGTCCAGGCAATCAACTATAATAACAAAACAATCCGACTTCGAGATCCTGGGCTTGACAACAACAATTGCTCTTCCATGTCTCAAAATATTCCGCCCACCACCGAGGACATCAATTCTCTATATTGGCCCGCCTATGACATTAATTCTCTATCTATATATTACTTGAAGTGTTCGAATCCATCGAATTCTTCTCTGTACGTGGACACTGCTCCATGCTTGAATAATACTTCTTCTTCTTCTTCTTCTTCGAGTCAACCAAAAACGAATAGCTATGTCATGGTCGGGGAATATGTTGGGGACAGGTTCAGGGAGGTATGGGAATTGGATGATGGTTGCAGTGTAGAGTGGATGAGTTTGGCTGCCGGCTACGTTGAGGACTACCGCAACTTCTCTTATAAAGACATACACAATGCCCTCATGTATGGCTTTGAGCTTCATTTCGAGCCTTTTAAAGATAGATGCCAAGGACAGTGGACTGCGGCTCATGTGGATACATGTTTTCCTCACACCATTTCAGGTGCGTCAATTCTCGACTAAATTAATAACTTGTAGTCGGAAATATAATTGCCTTGTCAAACTAGGAACATATAACAAACATTCAAGCAAGAATAAAACCCTTGTTAATTGTTCGGGTTCACGCACTAACTAAATTAGTCTAGGAATATCCTAATTCTGCAATCCATTATATGAGATTTAAAGGTATCAACATGTCACTTGTGGTATTCCACTAAACTAGTAGGTAGGTGGCCTCATGTTTGACTCTCATAAATGACAAGTTTGTTATTATTGATGACCCATTGTGTGATTTACTTAAACTAGAAAATGCGCCCGCACTTCGCACTTTGCTGCCGGGGATGAATGTATCATTCACAACAAGCAGAAATAATTTCCACAAAAAGTGGGCAAAATGGTGGTAGGAACAAAATCACATTCTCAAATGTAGCGACTCAGATAACATATATTTGAGCCAAGTGAATCCAACAAAATCACCAATCCACATACGCATCTTCAAATAATTTAAATAAGCAAGTGATAAGTGATATGGGCTGGTAAGATCAGCAGCTTGGTTTTCATTTTGATTTAATTCAGCCGACATCAAGAGCCATATACAATTTAACAGGATGAAGACATACAGTCGCCTTCCTAGTAGAGCTATATATAATAGGGAATTGTTATTGGCACTCCACAATTCTCATTTTGCCCTCCAAACTTTTCATAATTAGAAAGAAAAATACATTTGTCGAGAGTGTAGAATAAGATTTTTAGAGTGCTAAAAACAGTTTCCTATATAATATCTTATAAATAAATGAATCACAAATGATACTATAGTTGTTAAAAAAAACCCATTACTCAGAACTCCAATTCCCTCAGAACCCATTACTGAAAGCTCCAATTCCATCAAAACCGATATGGTAATTGGTAAAAGTACAAACTGGTTAGTTTCCACAAAAAAAAGAAAAAAAAAGTACAAACTGGTTACAAAAATATGTTTTATCCCATCCAATTGACGATAAGCAAATCAAATTACGAAAAGCAAAGTAATCAAACAGCCAAAAAATTAGAATGAAATCCTAAAACATTCTCATATTTGATAAAGTCAGCATCTACCTCATGTTCAGCTAACCCATTAAGAAAAACGATAAAGGTCATTGGGAATGAAAAGTCGTTTATTTATAATTGATGAAGCCCTATAAATCTGATTTGGCAAACGGCTCCTCAGCTCTTCATGGTTGTAAATCTCTCCATTCACCTTAATGATTTTCAAAACAAACATCATATCAGTAATTGTAAATTGAAAATTTTATCTCTTTTTTCAAATATTCAATAAATTAAACCACACAAAATTAAAAAAATATATGACACGACCTTGTAAGCAACAGAAGAGATGAAGCGGTGAGTGAGACAAAAGTGGTAAGCGAGAGAAGCGGTGAGAGTGCATCCAGGAAGAATGTAAACAGAAGGCAAAAATTGAAGGCAACACTGAATTCTTCTTGACTACCTATTAGTGAGTTCTTGGCCCTATTTAGACAGTTCCTGGAATGAAATGAAGCCAACTCTGCAACAAAGAAACAAACGAAAAAGTCAAAATCCAGAAATCCAAGTTTAACTCAATCAAATATAATAACCAATGAAAGTTGCAAACTGCAAATTCTCGCAATGTAGACAAAGAAACTTGTTTCTCAAAGACATAATTGGTCTCTTAGTGAATACAACATTTGGAAAACCAAACAATAATTAATAAAATAGAAAATTGAAGTACGTGGCAAGTTTTTCTTTTTATACAAACCGTCATCTCCACTTGCTTTAAGTAAGGAGGAAGTGTGTGAACCACCTTTCATCACCCTTTATTCAAAACATCACAACACCTGCACTTATATAAAGGAAAAAAGAAATGAACCAAAATAAAATTATACTACAATCCAATTATATGAAGGCCAAACTCTTGAGTTGGGGCTGGTGGCCGTCGACCACATCATCGACTCCATTTGAGAGAACAGGGTTTGTTTGGCTCTTTTGTCCAATTATTTACACTAACCATATCTAAATGAAGAAGGAAAACACCTATGTTGCTCCCTTCTTGTGATCCAAATTTGAAGACGGCCGATGGGGAAGGGCAGTTATAAGTGTCATCCTCTTTGTTTCTCCTATCGCTGCATTGTTAACCAAAACAACATCAAAACAATCCAATGTAATGCTCACAAAATTTGAGCTCCAAACAAAGTCACAGGTCAGCAATCACCTAATTGATCATAACACCATTTGCAAATATGAAAAACATAAACAATTAAGTCAGCAACATAATATGCCATCCCTTTCATACAAACACAGATTGCAATTCATATATGCCACATTATTCACAATCAATTACAAATCAATAAACAATTAAATCATCATCATGAATTACAGTGTAATATCAACACAATTAGAAAAGACAGAGCTACATGGGAATAAACATACAGAGAGAAACTACTTCAGATCCTTCCCAAAAGCAATCTTCTGCAGGATAACAAAAGAGCAGTTGATCTCTGATCTAATTGTAGACGCAATCTGCAGTAACCGACTTCTATGGAATTTCAACTAGTGAAATGTGGGGTGGAGATCTGAATGTAACAAATTGGTGTTAAGTAAATAATTCCAAACATATGAAATTTAGATCATCACACCCGAACGCAAACAGAACAATTAAATAAAGAATCGAAGGCATACACAATCTAATTAGACAAATAAGTGAACTTTCCCATGCCAAAATCCGAAAAGCCAACAGAAATCTCTCATTACAGCACAGAAGACAAAACTTAAAAGACAAAACTTAGAGAACAAAACTTAAAAGACAAAACTTAAAGAACAAAACTTAAAAGACAAACTTAAAAGGACAAAACTTAAAACTAATCAAAATTAGGTGAACCAATTGAAGAGAACATAACCCTTGTAACCAATCTGGAAAAGATGCTTTTAAATCCCAGAACAAAAAAATTATGAGTTTTTAAAAAACCATCATTTCAATGATTTTCCAGTCTTACATTTAGGATTAAACAGAAAATATAACTAAAAATGCCAACTTTCTCAAAAAACTACCAACTACTTTAACAAATTTCCATCACCCAACACTGAAAAATGAGAATCACGAAGCAACGAAGAACGGAACACGCTAGAACTGAAACATTAAAAACAACACATACCCATTTCAAAGACCAAAAATCCTGCAAGGACAAAAAAAAATCCCAGAAAATCAGTACATCAGTACTCCCTGCAAAACCCCAAAATCAGAAAATTAGAAAAAGAACCCAAATCAGTGGCATGGTCCTCGTTTCTCCATTAATCTGTAGCTAATGACCTAATGAAAAAGAACCCAAAACAGACTGCTTAAATTATGGTAAGTGCTTATAAGCTCATGAATAACTTTCAGAGCCAGTATAGAAATGGCATAGTGATATCGTAGATAATAACAGGCAATAAAACTATGCACAGTATAACCTAAATCCGATATGTTGCATTCCACACATACACATATAGATATATCTACATATACATAGATGACCCACAGAGATTAACACCATGCGGAGGTGTGCGCGGGCATAAACATAAAATATACATGCATACTTAATTTTAGACAATAATACCTCACAACATAAGTTGCAATTTGGGACTATTTGGTTGACTCAAAAGAAATTGATGGGTTAGAAAAAGCACAAAAAAATACAGAGATGGATGTTTTTATGTCGTTCATCTCTTACGTCGACAAAACACACACACACCTGTGTTTTAATGCTCCTCCAATACTCAATGAGAAGGCACCAGGCAAGAAGAAGGTCAAGGCTGGAAAGAAGCTTCCAAAGAGAACAATCTATAAAGCAGACCACAAAAATTAGACAAAACCCAAAAACCAAACAGTAGAAAAATCTCTAAAATGAAGAAAAAAAAAACTAAACTGCAAATACTCAAGCCTTTGCGTTCACAGCTGTTGGATAGACGCAAAGACCGAAGGGAAGTCAATTTGGCCATCATCTCACGTGATAGGAATTCTAATTTCTTGCAATCTGTTATGCTCAGTGACGTCAGCGTGGTGGGCAGACCATTTGTAGGGAACGACAAGGGTGAGTAACATTTATATAAAGTCAAACTTTGAAGACGATTGCTGTTGTGCACCATTTGCGCCAACAACTCTTTCCCACCAACACTATCAATATCAAGCTTCTGAAGCGACGGCAGCGTCTCCGTCGACTCTAGTAACAATGAGAGACCCGGGCATCCATTTATTGTCAGTTTTTCAAGAGATCCTCGTAAGGATTCCACGTTCAGGGTATTACTGGCCCTGTTTTTATGTAGAACCTCACACTTGTTCACATAAAGTGTTTTCAAGGAGGCAGGCACATCCTGTCACACATTCGCACATTGAAATTGAATGCACTTTCATATGTGTTGTCATAAGGATGCAAATTAATTGCTGCATCTCGTGTTTTATTAATTTTTATTCTATAAAAAAATACAAATCACATACATACTCCAAAAACCAAAAAGAGAATGCTGGAAAGGAGAAATTAGAAATCATATTGAAGAGCCTTCCAACGCACGTTAATAATCTAATTAATTAATGTGATTTGAGAAACAAACCCCTTTTCGGGCGTGACTGATCAGATCCTGCTCTTGCATTGCTGGTTCTACACAATACCCAATACACAAAATCCCAAAAAAAATAAAATTAATACATCGTCCATACAAAATCAACCAACAAATAAAAAATCATATTTTTCAATCACTTTCTCATCCAAATAGAACAGAGACTGAAAAACGATTAATCACCTGTATGGGGGAACAAGCTGCTGATACCCTTCATGGCCAAAGCCGACACAATCTCCTATAATTTCCTCATACTTCGTTTTTCTTTGACAATTTACAAATGCAAAATTTGGATGCTGCAGCGGAAGATCATGCTACAAATTCAAACACAAAATCCAAATTAAATACAAAATTCAACATTCACAATGCAAAAATGCAAACTAAACACAAAATCAATGCTTTCAAAGTCGTATGGCATATTGGCTTATCACAATTGTTTAGTATAAATTTACCCACATATTATATATGGATAAAATTAAGTAAAAAAATAAATGATAACTAAATCATACACTGGTAGTCTCCGAATTCCCCCAGCAAACAAACCGTTGATGGGTTCCCTTGAAAGCTTAGTTAGTGAACGGGCCCACCTGCACACTCACTTCAGAAATTTTAACCATTCATTTGAATGAAGACAAATTATCAGTAAAACCCCACCCCGAATCCCCGCGCTCAATTCCATCAGAAGTGCGAAAATCCCATGGTGTGAAATTATTAACCACGATTCATCCAACCGCGGAAAAAATAAAAATCCAGAAACTAAAAGCAACAACGCAGTAAACCCAGATAAAAACAACGACTAAGGACGCTCAAAAAATCAAACTGGGAAATCATGAGGGCAACGAAGAACTCACCGAAATCGAATCGTATGGAGAGAAAGAAACACCGGGAGATGAATAAAGCGGAAAGCCAAGGAGGGGCGACAAATGAGTGAGTTTTGAGTTGTAGGTTTCGAATTTTTCGTTCAGGGGAAAGGGGGAGGGATTGAATTGTACCCAACAGGTTTTACGGAACAAATCTGGAAGGAGGAACCGAAAATCAGCCCCACATCCCCCTCACTATTTCTCTCTCTGACCATCCCTCAAATCACCCGATCCCTCCCTTTTATTTATCTCTCTGTAATGTCCCCTCACATCCCTCACCCAATCTCTCTGTGACCACCCATCAAATCCCCCCATCCCTTCCTTTTCTGTCTGTAATTTCCCCCATCACTCCCTTTGTTTCTGTGCAATGGGCATGGCTCCCATCGCCCCCTGTCTGCGAATGTCGCCCCCACCCCTTGGACAAAACTATCCTCCTAACTTTTAATAATACCCTCCAATTCAGCCACATATTTGATGGCAGTGGTGTAAATAAAGTAAAATCAAGGGTCATATATAGGAGGGCACCTAAACCCTATGCACAAAATTACCCTCCAACCCAACCCAAATCTGATAGCTTTGTTGTAAATAACGTGAAATCGAGTGGCATTTGTTTACCGTAGCAATGTGCAGGCCAATTCCCCTCCAACTTAAGGATAGATAAATTTGTTTAATATATTTATAATTTTGTGTCAACTCCTCCAATCCAAAACCTAATTAGATCAAATACGTACGGACATATATTACTAATACCATAAAGAGTAGGTAAATTAATTTTGTAACAAATTTAAAAAATAGGCACATTAGTTTTCATGTAATTATACAGTAGGTAAATTATTTTCATAAAATTAAACAATAGATATTGTTTTGAAAAAATTAATTTTCATAGTAGGTAAACTATTTTCATGTAATTATCCTATAGGTATAAAATTAAACAATAGATATTGTTTTCATAAAATTAATTTTCATAGTAGGTAAATTATTTTCATAAAATTAAACAATAGATATTGTTGAAAATAAACACTAAATTAGGTATATTCAAATTGAAATTTGTTGTCAAAATTAAAAAAAAAATCCCAATTAATTCCTCCATCTAGAACCATTTTTCATGGCTACAAGACCTTGCCAAATTCAATGCACGTGATCAATTAAAACAAAATTACAAGAACTTTCCATACTGGCTTAGATGGGGTATATTAGCGATCCAAAAAATATAAAAATGGACACACAAACTTAATTTGGTAAGTTTCTTAGTTGGATCCTAATCATTGGGTTTTATTCGGATAAATATTATATGATGGGCTAGAGGCTAGAAAAATGAGTTTGGAGGGGGAAAGTTAAATTTTCAGAAAAAATAACACATATATATTATATTATCAATGTATTGACAGCACTAGAATTCTAAATTTATTTTCTAACGACTTATACACCTCACACTTGTTATGCTAATGCATGTGGTCTTGTTCTTTCTTTGTTCTTGTAGGTTTCTTTCAATATCTATGGCAACAAATCAGTAAGGGGTCCTCTTTTTGTTTTATTTACAAGTTTTCGATCGACAAACTTGATTTTTTTAAATTCTGAAGACTGGGTGAGCTATTGCTAATGTTGTGTATTCTTCTTCACAATTTTCACTGTAGGTCATGAATACATATATTTGCGTAAGAAGTTTCTCTCCAAAAGCTTCTTTTATTTTTGTGTGCTCTATCTGTACTTCTTAAACCTAGTAACTGTATGTCTTTGCTCACTTTTCTGTGGTATCTATTGCAGCTGGCAAGTTGTATTCATCATACAGCCACCCGATCGGTAAGATCAACTTCATTTAATTAGTCTATACGCTCAAGTATTTTTTATATTGGGTATCTTTATCGGCACCCAAATTTTAGTTAAGTTCCCCTAACTAAAACATTTTGTCAAACTTCATAGTTTCCCCTCATTTTTAAGTTCGCCCAAATCCACAGCAGCCTCCACCTACCAAAAGAAAGAGAAAATGAACAGACAAAACAACTACCGCGCGCCCAACAAAACTACACCACCCTCCGGTCCCTCCCTCGTAGATGCGTCGATGCCGGCTCCTTGGTGGGTCTGTGTGTTCCTTCTCTTTCTATTGGTGAGTGGTACTGGTGGATGTGTGTTGTTGGTTTTTTTGGTGAGTGGTAGTTGTTGCTTTGTGGGTTGGGTGAACTCAATTTCGACGGCAAATTAAAAAGTTTGACAAAATTTTTTTAGTTGAGTAAAGCTAACTAAAATTTGGGTGTCAATAAAGGCACCCTTTGATTTTATTTATTTATTTATTTTTCACTTTATGCACTTTTCAAACTCATAGTCGATTGATTTTGTTACAGCACGTAGATGGTTTATACTCATATGCATCGGTAAGGACTAAGACGAGATTGTATTATCAACATATGTAGATTTCCCATTCTTTCTCTTTAATTACATCAAAGACAAAGTAATTTGGAAAGAAAGGGAAGAAAAAGTAGTACACAGTGGATCTAACGTATTAATGTCAATGCATGCAGGGTTATTTTTCCCAGCCAGATTTGTTTTTGGAGTTCCAGTTGTGACTGCATTTCTAATCTACACATGGCGCAGAAGACATTTATCAATGTATAGCACAATAGAAGATTTTCTGCAATGCAATAACAACTTCATGCCTATAAGGTACTCCTACTCGGACGTCAAGAAAATGACTCGCAGATTTAAGGACAAGTTGGGCGAAGGTGGCTTTGGCTCTGTATTTAAGGGAAAGCTACGCAGTGGTCGATTTGTAGCAATCAAAGTTTTGGGCAAGCCCAAAGCTGATGGCCAAGATTTCATTAGCGAAATAGCTACAATCGGAAGGATTCACCATGCCAATGTGGTGCAACTTGTTGGATACTGTGTTGAGGGATCAAAACGCGCTCTAGTATATGACTTCATGCCTAATGGTTCTCTTGATAAATACATTTATTCCAAAGAAGGAAGTGTCCCCTTAACTATCAAGAACATGTACAAGATTTCTCTTGGAGTGGCTCAAGGGATCGAATATCTACACCAAGGTTGCGAAATGCAAATTCTACATTTCGACATCAAGCCTCATAACATCCTTCTTGATGAGAACTTTAAAGCAAAGGTTTCTGACTTTGGGCTTGCAAAATTGTATCCTGTAGATAATAGCATTGTCTCTTTGACGGCAGCACGAGGTACACTGGGATATATTGCTCCTGAGTTGTTCTACAAAAATATTGGAGGTGTCTCATACAAGTCAGATGTCTATAGTTTTGGAATGTTGTTGATGGAGATGGCAAGCAGAAGGAAGAATTTGAATCCAACGGTAGAGCATTCAAGCCAAATCTACTTCCCAATGTGGGTATACGATCAGTATATTGTGGGAAATAACTTGGAAACGGACAATGTTACAGAGGAGGAAAAGAAAGTAATAAGAAGGATGGTTATAACCGCCTTATGGTGTATTCAAATGAAACCAAGTGATCGCCCTTCGATGTCCAAAGTTGTCAAAATGCTTGGAGGTGATGTTGAATGTCTGCAAATGCCTCTCAGGCCTTCTCTATGCCCCCTAGAGACGCCTGTGACAGAGGGTGATATTCAAGACAATGAATTGAACCCAAGATGTTCTAACGCGGAGCTAACGTGTTCATTGTCTGCTAGGTGATGGTCAAATGGTTAAGAAAGTGCAGTAATGTATTATTAATTAAATTCTTGCCTTAAAGTGATTTAGTGAATAACTGTTGTCTGTAATTGTTTGGCTTGGATTCATCTAAGAACGACTAGTGTTGGTGCGTATACATATACATATGTTACTCTAATTCAGCAATTACTTCTAACTGTATGAGGCTTTTAGGATTGCTTGCATCATCAAGTTTTCTCCTCCTCCTAACATCCGAACCACCGTTTTCATGGACTGCCGATCCACCGAGTGTCACTGGCTGCACCAGAGCCCTAAACTTGCAAGTTGCTTTGGAATCTTACCATAACATTCTTCCTCAATAGGGATCTGTTGGTCATTTCCTTCCTCTAGAAGATTATAAATCCATTTTGGATAGTAGATTTCATTTGTTGTGTCCTCTAGTTGAACCAATATTCTTCTTTTCTCCTACCATCTCAAGCAGCAGCATTCAAGACATCTGCCTTGTAAGACACATTTCCGAAATTCCTGGAAAACACTTCGGGTACTTTAGTCACATGGTCCCCCTTGCTTTAGTCACATTGATTGATCCTTGGAACATAACTTGGCCAGACCAAAATCAGAGATTTTTGGCGTGATTTTTTGGTCGAGCAAAACATTATGGGGTTTGATATCGAAATGGAGGATTTGTAGATCACATCCCTGGTTCCTTTGGCTATGCTGATAGCAATATCTTGCAACTTATGCCAACCAAGGAAAGAAATCTATCTACTGATGAAATATAATCCTGGAGTGAACCAAAGGAAAAGAACTCATAAACCAGAGCTCATCTAAATCCATCAGCACAAAAACCAACCAAGTGAACCACATTGACATGGTGAATATGGCCCATTGTTCCCCACTTCATTTACAAGCTCTTCCCCGTCACCCTTGGAAATGTTAAGTACTTTCATGGCAACAAAGCATTCAGAAAAAAACTATCCTTTAAAAACAATTATGTATGCTCCTTGGCCCAACTTGTACTTGAATTGATTTGTAAACCTCTTAATATCTGAATGGGAATATATGCTTGGCTTAAGATCTTTGTAGTCCGCTGAAAACTTACCAAATTTCATTCGATTTTCTTTTTACTTTTGTCAGTGCTATAGGCGTGATATGCGGCAATGACCAGTAGTAAAAGAACAAATAAACCCAGGGTTGCTCCTGCAAATAGATAGATATTATCCATGAGTAAACATTTATTCTCAAGTGTCATTTGGACATGAAACAAAGCTAAACATTGGTCCTACATAACTCACCCTTGCAAACGTCTTTGTTTTGCCTGCAAAAGACAGTTGCAAAAATTAGACTGTCATTTCTCAAAATTAATCAATATCGTTACCACAAATATAAGCCGTTAATTACATGAAAGCGGAAAAATCACAGCATGTAGCAAAGTATACCGATCATCATCATTAAAAACATCATGAGCTGAATGGATTCGAAATAAGATTTAGACGCGTTATCCTTACTTGGTTTCCTCCTGTCAACAAGTTCAATTTCGCTCTTGGTGCCATTGTTCTTCAATCTACACTTCTTGCCCTTTGCTTCACATTTGATTCAATTTGGTTTAGACCATTGGAAATGCAGTGTTTTAATTTCATTTCCCACCCAACCACCAAATGGAACTAATGAAACACCATACGCCTTTGTACAAGACTGCAAGGCAGGGAAGCTTTCAAATAATTGAAAGACCGAATACACGCCATAAATTTTGTTGCCAGGGACACTGAGGCAAGGGGACTTGCTATATATAGGGGGAAGGAGAGAGGGTGGGATAAGTCCATGAAATCCATGGAATCGATGAGTGAGGCTTAAAGAGAGTTGGTTGGATTGTGTGATTCGGTCAGGGGAAATTACTGAGAGAGAAATAGAAAGGGAAGAAGGGGTATTTGGTGGATGGTTATAGATATTCCGGCCCTAGAAAATTATAGTCTCACAATTGCCTCTAACCATTCATTTGAGGGGCAACCTGTTCCCCTTGAAGATGAATTGTTATCCAAAGAGCTACTCGTTGAACCATCAGTCGGGAAAGAAGATCTACATGACGACCAGCTTATTCGTCAGTTAAAACACTCACATCTTCGCTCCAAATGTTTGCCCAACGACTGATGTCTTAACCTACGAACTCTAGACATCCTGTAAATCTATTCAGTCAACCCAGTTTGTTGACTGATTTTGCCCTACTAAACTTATATTATGTCGGTTAAAAAAGGTGAAACCGACGAAGTCTTCTGTCGCGCAATAGTTGACAGGGCAAGCCATAAATTCTAGTAGTGCAAGCATAACATCTGCTGGAATAAGTAGTTCTTAGATGAATCCAAGAACTAAAGGATTTAGTCTTATAATTTTAGATGTATACTAGCAAGTGTACCCGCCCATTGTTGCGGGGCTTCAAACATTGTTGAAGATGTAGAAAGTTTTGAAAAATATATATGCTAAAGAGTGGTGTTTAAATACATATATTACATCCATATGTTTGCAAAGTGCTATTTACATTCATACATTACATGACAAAAGTTGGAGATGTTGTTATGCCATCCTCAAAGATTGTTTTTAAAAGCTATGAGTCTATCTCATGGAGTATTTTATGTTTACAACTATACATAGTTAAAAAAATTAAGTTTTATTCCACTAAAGGCATCCAAAATACGATAATGCTGAACTGAAAATCAAAAGAAGGAATTAAAAACATAATTTGATCACTCATGAATTGAATAACCCTAAACTGCGTACAAATTGAACTAAATGAAAATGTAAAGATGAAGGGAAATTTGTCATAATTTCATTATGCAAGATTTTACTATGCTAGATTTCATTTTAGGCACCAAAACCAATTCATAAAATTAAGGTTGGGGTTTCCATATTCTCTATTGGGTATCGAAAGTCGTGAAAAGCTCGGAAATAATCAATCAAGTGTTTACCTGCAGATCAAGTGTTCTGTTTTCATCCTGCAAAAACTCAAATTCCAGAAACAACGAAAATGCAAACTTCATATGGAAATTGAAGGTTTACATGTAGATCAAGTGTTCTGTTTTCATCCTGCAACTTGGTTACCTAAAAAAAAAATAGATCCATTAACAATATAGAAACCAAATACATATTGAACACTCTATACCTCACATGTACAGACCAAATATGGAAGCCAAAATAGACACTCAAAACTGATACAAAAATACTACATAAATTTTTTTCAACCCTATCTGTCTTAAAATAAAATTAAAGGGGTCATATTGCAGAACAAAAGTATACCACCTGCAGCAAGCTTCAGCTCTGTCTCCAATGGAGCAATGATGGACTCAACATATAGCATTTCATCGTCTTTCTATGCAACGTGAACTCTTCAAAGTGTGACTTCTACTACAATATTTTGATATAAAACAAAACCCCCATAACCAGATTAATTAGGGTTTTTTCTTCATAGTTTCATGTACTTCAAAAGATATATGGTGTAAATTATACTCGAGTATTATCACTGTATAAAAAATACTAAACGGATATATCACATTTAAGCTTAAGTATGTTGATTACCAAAATAATTTAAATGGTTCTTCAAATTATCATTGTTTACATCAAGAAATCATTGAAACATTGTTGAAGATGTAGAAAGTTTTGAAAATTATACATGCTAAAGAGTGTTTATATACATATATTACATCCATATGTTTACGAAGTGCTATTTACATACATTACATGACAAAAGTTGGAGATGTTGTTATGCCATCCTCAAGGATTGTTTTCAAAAGCTATGAGTCTATCTCATGGAGTATTTTATGTTTACAACTATACAAAGTTAAAAAATTCAGTTTTATTCCACTAAAGGCATCCAAATCCATAACTCTATTACTAGCGCCTTTTTCATTTTGTACAACAATGTTGAACTGTAAATCAAAAGAAGAAGGAATTAAAAACATAATTTGATCACTCATGAATTGAATAACCCTAAATTGCATACGAATTGAATTAAATGAAAATCTAAAGATGAAGGGAAATTTGTCATAATTTCATTATGCAAGATTTCACTATGCTAGATTTCATTTTAGGCACCAAAACCAATTCATAAAATTAAAGTTGGGGTTTCCATATTCTCTATTGGGTATCAAAAGTCGTGAAAAGCTCGGAAATAACCAATCAAGTGTTTACCTGCAAATCAAGTGTTCTGTTTTCATCCTGCAAAAACTCAAATTCCAGAAATAACGAAAATGCAAACTTCATATGGAAATTGGAGGTTTACCTGCAGATCAAGTGTTCTGTTTTCATCTTGCAACTTGGTTACCTAAAAAAAAAAATAGATCCATTAACAATATAGAAACCAAATACATATTGAACATTCTATACCTCACATGTACAGACCAAATATGGAAGCCAAAATAGACACTCAAAACTGAAAAAAAAAAATACTACATAAAGTTTTTTCGACCCTATCTATCTTAAAATAAAATTAAAGGGATCATATTGCAGAACAAAAGTATACCACCTGCATCAAGCTTCAGCTCTGTCTCCAATTGAGCAATGATGGACTCAACAGATAGCATTTCATCGTCTTTCTATGCAGCGTGAACTCTTCAAAGTGTGACTTTTGCTGCAATATTTTGATATAAAACAAAACCCCCATAATCAGATTAATTAGGGTTTTTTCTTCATAGTTTCATGTACTTCAAAAGATATATGATGTAAATTATACTTGAGTATTATCACTGTATAAAAAATAATAAACGGATATATCACATTTAAGCTTAAGTATGCTGATTACCAAAATACTTTAAATGGTTCTTCAAATTATCATTGTTTACATCAAGAAATCATTGAAACATTGTTGAAGATGTAGAAAGTTTTGAAAAATATACATGCTAAAGAGTGTTTATATACATGTATTACATCCATATGTTTACGAAGTGCTATTTACATTCATACATTACATGACAAAAGTTGGAGATGTTGTTATGCCATCCTCAAGGATTGTTTTCAAAAGCTATGAGTCTATCTCATGGAGTATTTTATGTTTACAACTATACAAAGTTAAAAAATTCAGTTTTATTCCACTAAAGGCATACAAATCCATAACTCTGTTACTAGCGCCTTTTTCATTTTGTACAACAATGTTGAACTGTAAATCAAAAGAAGAAGGAATTAAAAACATAATTTGATCACTCATGAATTGAATAACCCTAAATTGCATACGAATTGAATTAAATGAAAATCTAAAGATGAAGGGAAATTTGTCATAATTTCATTATGCAAGATTTCACTATGCTAGATTTCATTTTAGGCACCAAAACCAATTCATAAAATTAAAGTTGGGGTTTCCATATTCTCTATTGGGTATCAAAAGTCGTGAAAAGCTCGGAAATAACCAATCAAGTGTTTACCTGCAAATCAAGTGTTCTGTTTTCATCCTGTAAAAACTCAAATTTCAGAAATAACGAAAATGCAAACTTCATATGGAAATTGGAGGTTTACCTGCAGATCAAGTGTTCTGTTTTCATCCTGCAACTTGGTTACCTAAAAAAAAAAATAGATCCATTAACAATATAGAAACCAAATACATATTGAACATTCTATACCTCACATGTACAGACCAAATATGGAAGCCAAAATAGACACTCAAAACTGAAAAAAAAAAATACTACATAAATTTTTTTCAACCCTATCTATCTTAAAATAAAATTAAAGGGATCATATTGCAGAACAAAAGTATACCACCTGCATCAAGCTTCAGCTCTGTCTCCAATGGAGCAATGATGGACTCAACAGATAGCATTTCATCGTCTTTCTATGCAGCGTGAACTCTTCAAAGTGTGACTTTTGCTGCAATATTTTGATATAAAACAAAACCCCCATAATTAGATTAATTAGGGTTTTTTCTTCATAGTTTCATGTACTTCAAAAGATATATGATGTAAATTATACTTGAGTATTATTACTGTATAAAAAATAATAAACGGATATATCACATTTAAGCTTAAGTATGCTGATTACCAAAATACTTTAAATGGTTCTTCAAATTATCATTGTTTACATCAAGAAATCATTGAAACATTGTTGAAGATGTAGAAAGTTTTGAAAAATATACATGCTAAAGAGTGTTTATATACATATATTACATCCATATGTTTACGAAGTGCTATTGACATTCATACATTACATGACAAAAGTTGGAGATGTTGTTATGCCATCCTCAAGGATTGTTTTCAAAAGCTATGAGTCTATCTCATGGAGTATTTTATGTTTACAACTATACAAAGTTAAAAAATTCAGTTTTATTCCACTAAAGGCATCCAAATCCATAACTCTGTTACTGGCGCCTTTTTCATTTTGTACGACAATGTTGAACTGTAAATCAAAAGAAGGAATTAAAAACATAATTTGATCACTCATGAATTGAATAACCCTAAATTGCATACGAATTGAATTAAATGAAAATCTAAAGATGAAGGGAAATTTGTCATAATTTCATTATGCAAGATTTCACTATGCTAGATTTCATTTTAGGCACCAAAACCAATTCATAAAATTAAAGTTGGGGTTTCCATATTCTCTATTAGGTATCAAAAGTCATGAAAAGCTCGGAAATAACCAAAGTACACACCTAAAAAAAAGATAAGCAATAAACCATTTCCAACTCCTCAAATCATTCATCAAACATAGTAATACAATCATCGAGACACACTCAATCATTTATCCTAAACCTAAATAAGAATAATTAGGTTTAGGATGAATACCCAAACAGTCAAGCCTTCACTTCTACTTGTTTTGGTCATTGCTGCAAAAATGCAGGCCTGTCGTTATGCTCCTCTGGATATGGCGTCAAAAAGTAATTTTCCTGCCTACCTTCAACATCCTAATACATGGATAATGCAGCTTGGTTAACAACTCTCCTCCTCTGCTTCTTCAAAGCTCAAAACTTTCACACTCAATGGATCAAATAAGCCTTGTTTTTAATACCCTTTTGGAGTTTGATCTTTAAGTCAGTTAAATTTTTTATTTATTTTGTCTGATTTGAATGTGTGGGTTTTGTCTCCCAATCTCAAAAGCTTATAGTTTTATATATTAACAATCCACACAAAAATAAATATCACTCGTATGATAATCATTTTCTAATCCCCATAAATAAACAACTCAATATCTTCTTCCAATCCCAATTCTTCTATCATCTAATTGCCATTAATAATCCCATATGTGAAATCGTAATCTATGTGATAGAATTGATAAATAATAAAAACTCAAATTCCAGAAACAACGAACATGCAAACTTCATATGGAAATTGAAGGTTTACCTGCAGATCAAGTGTTCTGCTGTCATCCTGCAACTTGGTTATCTTTAAAAAAAAAGAAAAAAAAAGAAAAAAAAGAAGATCCATTAACAATATAGAAACCAAATACATATTGAACACTATACCTCTCACATGTACAGACGAAATATGGAAGCCAAAATAGACACTCAAAACTGATACAAAAATACTACATAAATTTTTGTAGTATTTTTGTATCAGTTTTAAAATAAAATTAAAGGGGTCATATTGCATAACAAATGTATAACTCCTGCAGCAAGCTTCAGCTCTGTCTCCAATGGAGCAATGATAGACTCAACAGGTAGCATTTCATCATCTTTCTGTGCAGCACGAACTCTTCAAAGTGCGACTTCTGCTGCAATATATTGATATAAAACAAAACCCCCATAATCAGATTAATTCGGGTTTGACGACCAAGCAGAGGCTTTATCAATTTTGTTGACGATCGTAGCAAGAACCTTGGGAGTAAGAGAACTCGTAATCCAAGATAGGATCATCTCGTCAGTCTGGATCCATTCATTATATAATGGATTGACTTTGTCTGTGAATTTACCATTGTCATCAAGAAGAAAGGCAGAGGGGCATTGAGTTTCGCCAGTAACATAAGAGAGTAAGTTGCGGCTGCGCAGCAAGGGAAGAAATTGAGCACGCCAAAGAGGGTAGTTGTTGCGGTCGAGCTTAATCGTAAGAAAATTTGAGACGGAGGGAGCAGCGGAGGAGGAAGAAGATGCCATAGTTTAGGATCTGCAGAAGAGAAAAAAATTATAACATGAACTGTTGTCGTTAGACCCTGGCTCGTGATACCATGAAAGATAGTAAATATGATTTGCAGAATCTCAACTCTTAATTAGAGTGAGCGATGTTCATTGATATTTATAGGAGTACTATACAAACACACGTAGAACTAGGATTACAATCTAAACAAGAAGTGGACTAAATAGAAGTTAAGTCAAGATGAAACTTGTTCTGCAGTAGGCATGTCGTCTGAGGATTCCATGTTGGAATTGGATTGTGATTGTGCAGTAGCAAACGGAGATGGAATGGGATTTGGTTTATCATTTTCTTCATAGTTTCATGTACTTCAAAAGATATATGATGTAAATTATACTTGAGTATTATCACTGTATAAAAAAAAAAACTAAACGGATATATCACATTTAAGTTTAAGTATGCTGATTACCAAAATACTTTAAATGGTTGCTCAAGTTATAATTGTTTACATCAAGAAATTAATGATATACCCTATGTTTCTATAATATATGTATCTTTGATTATAAAATCAATAGAACTTTTTAGATAAGAGCTAATGAGATCGAACTAAGCTACTTCACCTCTTTCATAAGTCCATGTCTCCACCCAAGCCTAGACATCCCGACATTGCCCAGATAGGTGTGTCGACCTACCTGCTAGATTTACACAGAAATGAAAATTTGAAAGAGGTTTAAGCATGAACAGATTGTAAAACCGCAAAACTTAATAGCACCAAATTATGTTGCAAGCAAGCACCAACCCTCATGAATAAAAAGTGGGTACACAAAATTGGCAGGAGATGAACTTGTTTCATGAAACGCAGCTTTGAGCGACGGCAATCTTCGGTTCTGGCGAGGAAATGTTACATGATCTCAAATCACCTCCAATTGGTAATTATGTAAAGAATAGTTACACAAAAAATCACATATATATATATTTTGAACCCAATCTACCAATTCAGTGCAACAAAAGCAAGAGATGAGTTGGGAAAAAGCATACCTTCACAAAGCTAAAAGCTTTTGATATTCCACGACTTTCTTCTTCTTTTTCTTCTTGTTCTTCCTTCTTCCTTCTGAACATCTTCTGATTCAGGGATGGCAGCTCTGCAGCACTCATCAAGCATGCCTATTTCAGTAACCCCAAATCAGTTTAAATACAAAATTGGGCATAATAAAAACTGAACCAAAAAGTCGTAATTGCTTACCCAAGTGAGAGAGGATTTTGGAAAACAGCGCTAGGCGGCTGCGGCGTCCACAGTAGAAAGGCTTTCTTGGCATCAACCCCAATCTTATCAAAGCAGAGACTCCCATTGGGCCACGGAATCTAAACGAAATCCTACCATAATCTCACTGTCACAAAAAAAATAAAAAATTAAACAACTAAATTTGACCCAAAATATTGTTTATACTTTTCATGCATATATATAGTATTGATTACCCAGAAAAAAATGGAAAATTCCACAACCCAGTAACCAAAATTGGAATAATAATACAAAAGTTTTACCAATTGTAGAAAGATAGAGGAGATGTTGAGCATGAAAATTAGATTAGAGCCTTAAGAGTCTTAATTTAATAAGAGGAGTCTTAATTCAATATTGAATAAGAATATTAATTTAATAAAAGTTAATACTCGATCAACCAAGTTCCCCATTTCAAACTACCCATCAAATATTTAACAGCAATACAAGCAATAACAAACAAAAAATTTAAACTAATCCAAAAACTAAAACCCTTTTAATTTTCCATGTGTATTCAATGATTTGCTTCCTGTAAAAATAGGAAATAATAATAATTATTTGGAGATGGAATCTCATATAGAGCTAGCAGAGGAAGCAAAGAAGATATGCAAAAGCAAATTAAGAGATCATCATATTACAAAAGCTATAGAAGCAAATTAAGAGATCATCATTTGGAGACAGAGACACATATAAAGTTGCAAAAACAAATTATTACGGCTGACAAAAACTGACCTAATTAATTGGATATCCTGGCAAGTACTGGTCAAATGTTTTATTACAAAAAAGAGGTAACTGAGAAACCTCATACCTGAGAACTGAATTTAGAAGCTGGACTATGCTGCTGAAGTGAAGCAAGAAGTAACTTCTCCATTTCAAAGGCCGCAAATCAGAGTTTGCAGCTGTCCTGATTAATGCCATTTTAAATTTGACGTTCGTCTCAATCTGTATCATGTGTTTATAGATGTTTAGTTATAATCACAAAACTCAAATTTTTGGTTCAGAAGTTCAATGATGGTTATATGATGTCTACGTTGAGGGTAACATGCGGAGAAATTTTGGGGATAATATTGTTCAAAAAATTATCAACAACAATGTAGATTCTCCAAGAAATTATATTCTAAGGCCTAAAATAAAGAGTTAGCCTTCATGAAGTGAAAGTAGCACATATAAGTCTAATGCTCCAAACCAAAAAAGATACATTGTAAGGTCAACAATTACAACTTCACAGTTTGTCATGGTATTCTGATGTACAAATTAACTAACAAACCTTGAATTCCTCAAATGTTAGTTTCGGAATAATTTTTCAGTCACAGCTATAATCAAAACCATAGCTATTGTCAGGAAATAATGCCTGTAGCAAATTGAAACCAGATCATTATGTTACTAATAAGACATAAATTACAATAGATGTTGTGTAATTTAATATGTCAGCAACATGGATAGCTGGTAACCAAAGATAATTAACAGATAAGAATGTATCATTGTATAGTTAGCTCTCCCGTATATGATTTTGCTCCCAGAAGCTTAATCTGTACCAATTTGTGTATAAAACACTTAGCCTAAATTTATACAGGTATGCATCAAATAATGACACATTGTCATAGTACTATCCAAGTGTTAATTCCATTGGGGATAGAACGGACGGAGGGGGTTCCAAGTTTCTTCCTAAAACTAAAGGCTAATTCCATTAGCAATTCAGAGCCTTTGAAGTATGCAAAAAAATGGAACCACAGTAAAGCTTTATTAACCTTGTACACCTATTGTGAGTATATTATGTCAACGTGGTTCTTTCTTTTTTTTCTCAAATCGCAATATTCCGTCAGGCTTTTATTCTCTGTCTTTTTCTTTCGCCGTCAATCAAACGGACGGCGACGTTTTCCTATTGTTTTGGTGAACGAATACAAAAAAGTATAAGAGGAAGGGAATAGGGGAATTCGGCCAGTCATGAAGCTCAGCCAAGAAGAGCAGACGGCGACGTTTTCCTATTGTTTTGGTGGACATTGTTTTTTCATAAGACATCGCAAAAATCATGTTAGAACTTGTAATGAAACCATTTTTGAGGCAGATCGTATGAAAGGACGGAGTACAGAAATAAAAAAGCTTTTCATGTTCGATAATGGCAGTCATACATGGTGCAATGACGTTACATCACTTAGAAGATCACAAAGATTCAGTTTTCATACTATAGTAAACATAATTCTCAAAATATTAACTAAGAAATTCTTACAAAGAAGACTAGAAACAAAGAAAAATAAAATTATTTATGTTGACTACAAAAGGCTTCAAAACTACGCACAGAAGCCCCAAAAACGAAGAACAAATTGTCCTGAAACAATGCACACAGCCAAATCATATAACCAAGCAACATATCTAAGGATATAAGATCACAAAGATTCAATTTTCATACTATAGAAAACACAACTCTCACAAAATTAAATAAAAAATTCTTACAAAAAAGGTTAAAAAGAAAAAAACGAAATTATTTACCTTGAGTATAAACGGCTTGAAAGCTAAACGGTTTCAAATCTACACACAAAAGCCTCAAGAAACGAAGAACAAATTATCTTGAAACAAAACCACATCCAAATTATACAACCAAGCAACAGATCCAAGAATATAAACAAAAGTCAAACCTGTACATAGCATTGGGTAAACAAAAGCCTTTTGATTTTGGGTACCTTTTTTAGCACCCAAATTTTAGTTAAGTTCACCTAACTAAAACATTTTGTCAAACTTCATAGTTTCCCCTCATTTTTAAGTTCGCCCAAATCCACACCAGCCTCCACCTACCAAAAGAAAGAGAAAATGAACAGACAAAACCACTACCGCGCGCCAGACGAAACTACACCATCCTCATGTCCCTCCTTCATCGACAGCGTCGATGCCAGCTCTTTGTGTTGTTCATTTTTTGGTTGAGTGGTGCTTGCTGGTTGGTGGGTTGGGTGAACTCAATTTCGAAGGCAAATTAAAAAGTTCGATGAATTTTTTTTTTAGTTGAGTGAAACTAACTAAAATTTGGGTGTCAATAGAGGCACCCTTTGATTTTTTTCAAATTTTTTTTTCTTCACTTTATGCACTTTTGAAACTCATTGTCGATTAATTATGTTGCAGTACGTGGATGGTTTATACTCATATGCATCGGTAAGAACTAATACGAGATTGTATTATCAGCATATGTAGATTTCCCATTCTCTCTTTAATTACATCAAAGACAAAGTAATTTGGAAAGAAAGGGAAGAAAAAGTAGTACAGTGGATCTAACATACTAATGTCAATGCATGCAGGGTTATTTTTCCTAGCCAGATTTGTTTTTGGAGTTGTAGTTGTGACTGCATTTTTAATCTACATGGCGCAAAAGACATTTATCAATGTATAGCACAATAGAAGATTTTTTGCAATGCAATAACTTCATGCCTATAAGGTACTCTTACTCGAACATCAAGAAAATGACTTGCAGGTTTAAGGACAAGTTGAGCGAAGGTGCCTTTGGCTTTGTATTTAAAGGAAAGCTACGCAGTGGCCGATTTGTAGCAGTTAAAGTTTTGGGCAAGCCCAAAGCTGATGGCCAAGATTTCATTAGCGAAATAGCTACAATCGGAAGGATTCACCGTGCCAATGTGGTGCAACTTTTTGGATATTGTGTCGAGGGATCAAAGAGCGCTCTAATATATGACTTCATACCTAATGACTCTCTTGATAAATACATTTATTCCAAATAAGGAAGTCTCCCTTAACTATCAAGACTATGTACAAGATTTCTCTTGGAGTCAAGGGATCGAATATAAGAAGAGAATGCTTTGAATGATGATATATTCTTCTCAATAAGAGGAACTTATAGGTGTACAACCCTAACATAAAAGGAAAGAAAAACTAATTACAAGTGATTACATGGGATTACATATCAATTAGGGATCCTACCTAAAATACAAAAGTCAACACTCTCCCTCAAGTTGGTGAATATATGTCGATCATGCCTAACTTGTGTAAGAAACTTGAAAACTTGTGACTCGAAACAGCTTTTGTGAGGATATCTGCCAACTGATCTTCTGTTCTTATCGCTGGTACTTCAATTATTTTCCCTTCCAATTTTTCTTTGATGAAGAACCAATCAACTTCAACATGCTTTGTTCTATCATGTTGTACCGGATTATGTGCAATGTCACGAGCATCTTTATTATCACAAAATAATTTCATGGGCTGATCATGTTGTATACCCAAATCGCTTAACAGAAGCTTAAGCCACAAAATTTCACAAATCCCCAAAGCCATACCTCTGTATTCTGCTTCTGCACTGGAACGGGCAACCACATTCTGTTTCTTACTTCTCCATGTAACCAAGTTACCCCCAACAAACGTAAAGTAACCTGATGTTGAGCGTCTATCATCAATGGAACCTGCCCAGTCTGCATCAGTATAACCTTCAACACTAAAGTGATTATTCCTCTTAAACAAAATTCCTTTGCCCGGACTTCCCTTCAAATATCGCAATATTCTCGTCACGGCATTCATATGTTGTTCTCCAGGATCATGCATGTATTTACTCACTACACTCAAGGCATAAGCAAGGTCCAGTCTTGTGTGTGCCAAATACATCAAACGGCCTACTAACCTTTGGTATCTTCCTTTGTCAATTGGTACTTGATTAGGATCAACACTAAGCTTCAATCCTTCTTCTAATGGTGTAGCTACTGGCTGACAAGCTGACATGTCAGTTTCGTGCAACAAATCAATAATATACTTCCTCTGAGACAAGAAAATTCCAGAACTGCTTCTCGACACCTCAATCCCTAAAAAATATTTCAGGGATCCAAGGTCATTCATTTCAAATTCTGTAGACAGGTATCTTTGCAAGGCCGCACGTTCTTCCGGATCATTACCTGTTACCACCATATCGTCTACATACACAATAAGTGCAGTAAGCTTCCCATTCTGTCTTTTCAGGAACAAAGTATGATCAGAGTTACTTTGTCTGTAACCAAATGCTTTCATAGATTTTGTGAATCTTCCAAACCATGCTCGAGGGGACTGCTTCAAGACATACAAAGATTTCTTCAATCTGCACACTTTTCTTTTGTATTTATCTGGAGCATTACATCCCGGTGGAAGATCCATATAAATTTATTCTGTCAAGTCTCCATGCAAGAAGGCGTTCTTCACATCGAACTGTTGTAAAGGCCAATTAAGATTTGCAGCCAAGGACAACAAAACACGAACTGTGTTGATCTTGGCTACTCCTGCAAATGTATCTGTGTAGTCGATTCCATATTTTTGAGTATATCCTTTTGCTACCAGTCTTGCCTTGAAACGATCCACCGTCCCATCTGCTTTGTATTTCACAGTATAGACCTATTTGCATCCCACAGGTTTCTTGCCAGCTGGCAAATCTGTGATCTCCCAGGTAGCATTCTTCTTCAAAGACTTCAACTCTTCATTCATTGCTACTTGCCAACGTGGATCAGTTAAAGCCTCTTACACACTGTTAGGAATAGATACAGTAGATAATTGATGCACAAATGACTTATTTGATTCTGACAGGTGACTGGTAGACACATAATTACTTAACGGGTATAACACATTAGACTCAGGGTTGGGCTTACTCACCGGATACCTAGTTTTGCATTTAGGGTCGGCTTCATAAGTAAGTTTAAGAATACCTCGGTTGATGCGATCAGGGAGACGACGTGGTGGTGGTGCATCCGGGATCGAAGACGATTGATTATGGTTATTGGGACTCAAGATCGACTGTGAGGTAGCTGGCGACACAGGGTTGTCCGGTGGTGAGGAAACTGGCAGTGAGCTATCAGGCAGTGAGTTATCTGGCGATGTCGACTCATCCCTTTCAAGGTTTTCAACATTGTTTCCATGTGAATGATCACCACTTGTCTCCAAGACATTACCACTTAATTCCAATTCATTCACATCATTATTTTCGTGTGAATGATCACCACTTATTTCCAAGACATCACCACTTAAATCCAAATCATTCACTCTATCTATATCTGGAATAGTATAATCAAGAGTTTGAACTTCTTTCTGATTCTCCCCCTGAAGTGAAGACTCGAGATTGGCAAAGTACATATCATTCTCATGAAACGCAACATCCATAGTGACAAACAACTTATTCGTCGGTGGGTGATAACAACGGTATCCTTTCTGCCTTGATGCATACCCCACAAACACACATCGTAAGGCTCGAGGTTCAAGCTTACTTCGCTGTTGTTTATGAAGATGAACGAAGGCCACACATCCAAACACATGAGGTGGAAGATTAGGGAATGCAGGAGCATCAACATGTAAAGAAAATGCCTGAAGGGGT